CAAAAAGAAATGTGCTTCATATGCCTGATTCAAACATATTTTATCCCTCTGGGATATAAAGGTCAAAGAAAAGTGGTGAAAAATGACAAAATTCTTCAGTGCCAAGTTCTTCCTCCTCAATCAGCGAAGGATTCCTTGTGTCTGAAAAGGTACCAGAATATCCTCCTCAGCAGCCTTTACCAAAGCAGTGCTTATTAATGTGTGCCAGGTTGTACTTCCAAATGAACTCCTATAGATAAAAACTGGAGACCAAAACTGAGTTAAAAGGTACTATAAAATGGCAGGGATGAGTAGATTCCTCTGGCTGTAAGTTTCTGTGTATCCATGTGCAGCCATTTCATTCTTCTGGCCTTTTGCTCCTCTCTTAATTTTTTTTAATTGAGTAATTTGCAGAAAAATAGCTATTTTTGTGTGACTCTCTCTGCACTATTTGGTAGAACATTTGATATATATTTCACTGAAATGAGTTTTACAGTCCTGTACTGTCTCGTCATCCCCTTCCCACCCCCAACCCAACAAATGAATATTTTACTTCATAGTTTTGGTGAAGTGAAGGGAGGGGGGAAAGCACAGTAGGGTTTGATTTGACAAGGTGTGCAGGTGAACGAACAGATCAAATTCAGCAATAGAGGAAGAAAACGTTGTGAGTCTTTTTACAAAGTGAGGCGTCAATGTAACAAACAGAGCTAAGAAAAAAGTTTAGAAGACAAAGTTCTTCTTCGAGTTTCAGCTCTATATTTAGTTAAAGAAAATCGCAGCAAATTTATCTCTTCCCCAGTCAGTTAATAACCAATGCAAAGCAGTCCCTACCAACATGTATTCAAAAAGTGGCAATCTTACCCTTAATATTCCTCAGGGTCCCTGACATGGTACCTGTGGATACCATGGTGGCCTCCAATAACTTACCTGGCATCCAGCAAGTGTTTTTAGAAAGTGGATAGGTCCAGCTGGGCCTTGTGCCTAACAGCAGGGCTATTTTTGGGCAGGATCGCACAGGAACGGAGTTCTGTCTGGCTCCTGATTTGGCCACACCCAGCAGGAACTCATTAGCATAATAGGCCACACCTAACAGCAGACACTCATTAGGATTGGCTACATTAGGGTGTGTGGCCTAGCATGCAAAGAAGTTCCTGCTACAAAAAAAGCCCAGGGTTTTGACAACAAAGTAAACAGAATAAGAAGCAAAAGGTGGGTGTTGGTTGGATGACCACACTTCTGGTAACATGTGGGGTGTGGCTTAATATGCTAATGATCTGTGCTGTCAGGGGTGTGGCCTAATATGCTAATAGTTTCTGCTGTTGGGTGTGGCCTATTATGCTAATGAGTTCCTGCTGGGCTTTTTCTACAAAAAAAGCCCTGACTAACAGAGCTTCTGACTGGCCACTGAAGATCTGATTACAGTCAGGAAATATCTCTATTATAGTTAGTGATTTAACTCATTACACAGGAACAAACCTGAACTTGCCAATGAGAGTTAGAGTGAAAGCCAGCGTGGTGTAGTAGTTAGAGCACTGGACTAGGATCTAGGAGATACTGCCATGGAAGTTTGCTGGGTGACTTTAGCTTAGTCACTCTCTCTCAGCCTAACCTACCTCACAAGGTGCCTGTTGTAAATCAGTGTCCTGTGCAACTCATAGATTAGACATGGATTTCCCACCGTCTTTTAAAGGCAACTTTCAGATTCTAGCCTTCCGAAGAATGGAATGTGTGTGAGTATTCTTTTCATTCTTGAATAGTTTAGCCTCTTGAAACTCCCCACGTTGCTGTTAGTTCTACAAGGGAAAAGGGAGAGGCACCTGCCCTCTGACTCCTTTTTTAAACTTCTAAGGCTAATAGGAATGTGGTAGGGAGGAGAGATCGGTCGGTCGTGGTAAAAGGATTGAAGCCCCTGTCCCCTCCCCGCACAATCCTTATTTCAATTTGGGCTTGGCACACCTCTAATTTGCTTTTTTAACAGGCCAGGAGGCTCTGATTGTGGGTCTCCCAGTATTTTTGACCCTCGGCAGGGAGCTATACCCTGTTACTGCTACCCAGTGAGTATAACTGTGTGGCCCATGCATTTCATACACTTCCTGCTGCTCCTCTTTAAGGAGCAGTGCCTTTTTTTTTTAAGTACCATTGTACATCACTGCCTCTAATTTGTCCCTGTTCTGCCTGGAGGGACCTTTTAAAGATTTATTTTAAAAATATGAGCCCTCTCTGGTATACACTAGAGTTGTCATTCTTCATGCTTCCGTTCTTTCCTGTGGGTCTCAAGAAGTTATATCTCTGAGGGAGTTTGACCCTAATGCACAAACATGAACATTAGTGTCTTGTAATGCGCTGTGACTTTACTCATTGCGGTTAGTAAAGCTTATTTTGAAGTATTAAGTATGATAGGATCAACTACTGCTAATAAATCAGTTCAATATAGAACAAACAAACGCCTTCACAAGCATGTAACAATTAGGAAAAGGGATCCTTAGTAAGAGGTATCCCAAGAATACCAGGCTTATTGCCCCATTTCCATCTGTGAAATATTGGCCTGTTTAATGTTTGCACGCACATGTTTATTACAGTTATATTTTACAATTTCAGGTATACATCAATAAGATTTAATGTGTGAAGGGTCTGTTGGTGTAAGGTTACTATGGCTGATTTCGCACTAGAGCTTCCTGTTTTTTGAGGATCACGAAACTGTGGAGGAAATCGGGCGAAGCCGCAGGTCAAATGCAGCCCCGCGGCTTCAGGTGTGAAATTGACCAATAGTATTGGGGCAAACGGCGGTGCAACATCGAGGCAGCTCTAGTGCGAAATCAGCCTATGTTATTTTTTCTTTTAAATTATTGGAATGGATGGGTTATTTTCTGTGTTGTGGATTTCTTCACAGATAGGATGTGTTTTCATAACTTGCTTTTGTACGTCATTAAGTCTGAAGAATCAAGAAAAAAATCAACAAATACGTTGCTCCTGTGGATGGGCACTTCACTGAGAGAGTGTCAGGGATCAGGTGTGCACTGCTTTTAGTGATGCAAGTCTAGGGCTCATCACCAAAAGATTGGCTGGGGGGATGATGCTACAGCTGCTGCCAATGGTTACACCCAGGGCTTTTTTGGTAGAAAAAGCCCAGCAGGAACTCATTAGCATAATAGGCCACACCCAACAGCA